GGAGGCTACGGTCCACTTGGTGCGCAGCGAACCATCAATCGTAACATTTCGATATCCTGCTGAGCCAACCTCTCATGTCCCGTTTGCTCTGGGAAGGAGTAACAATGTCGACAGCACTTTACCAACTTGCTTGCCCATTCGGTCATCGCAAGCCGTAAATCTGATACGACCACTATCCCATCTTGAGACCAAGTCGACACATCAAAATTCCAATCGCAATTCCTGGGATCACCGTGAGATGCAATATCCTCAGTACAGTTACCCCACGGCTGGTGGCCTCGAGGTTACGCCGCCATACTATTCAGTACCGCCACCTCTAACAAACGAGCGCTTGTACACCTATCACTCAGAATCCAAACATGTCCCGCAACCCGAAACCTACTTTGATTCTCATGAACATCCTTCAGCCCTTGAGCCACTTCAAATCAGCGAGCAATCCGTGCTGTCCTCTTATGATACCTCATACGATTCAATACTACCATCACTGAGCTCCTCCAAACCAGGAACCTCTTCGCATACATATCACATCGACACCATGGACGCCGGGTCGTCTACTGAAGTACACCTACCATATGGCATCCATTACGCCCCCTCTTCCTCGCATGTGCAATACCTTCACACTCCCCAAGCCCAAGCGTCCTCTCCAATTATCCACGTGCAGGAGCCTGAGGTCATTGAAAAATTGCCATCCACTGGCAGCTCTTCTTCCGACAATACCCAAAATTTGAAACCCAAAGGAAGCACATCCGGGCGAAGAAGGCCCTGGCAAGGCACTCTACAATTCTCGGCTTCCGGCCGCCCACGCAGCAAACCCATGTCGCAGGTCATGTCTAGCGGCCTTCTCGATCCTGTGACGGGTGTCCTCCAGACAGGCGATGCACTGGCTGCTAGCTTTTCTGTAGCGGAAAAGGTCAAGAAGACGTACCCTTGCCGTGAAGAAGGTTGCGGAAAAATCTTTTCAAGAATGTTTAACTTAAAGGTAACTTTTATTCATTCTACCAATCTGTTCCGATTTTACCAGACATGCCAACTTTACTCTCTCCCTTTTTTTCGGATTGTTCAGTCACACATGCTTACTCACACCGGCGCTCGCCCGTTTCCTTGCGACCACTGCGATCTCACCTTCCGACGAAAACATGATCTCATCCGACATACCAGAAGTCTACATTCCGATACAAAGCCCTTCAGCTGTCCTATTTGTCACCAGGTATGTGTATCCCAAAAGATACAATGGGAGACAAGTTCTGGTTTACTTAACGACCCACGCGATCGGCTTACCTAAGCGATATTTTTAATTATCTGCTAGGTCTTTGCCCGGACGGATGCCCTCAAACGACACATGTTGGTGGAAGAAAAGAACGCCATGGAGCTTTCGGCAAGTCCCCCTCGAGCCGGGACAGGGCATCAGGCAAATTCCAAACCTCCCCCTGCCCGACAATCCCCCTCATTTGGCACTGACTAGCCCGAACTGCTGCTTGAATGTCTTTGTATAAAGTACTTTATGTGTTTTGACCTCGTGTAGTTATTAGAAACCATATAAATAATGGCAATTGTGCGCAAAGAGGATTGTTCTCCTTGCGATATTGCAGTCAGCAGGCAAATTGGGCAACAGTAGTGGAATCAAGATCCCTTATTCCTCTCGTGTATCTGGAGCACTTTCAGAACCACCATCGTTTTCTTGGTCTTCGTCTACCCCTTCACCATTTCCTCCGTCCTCGACTGCGTTTCCTTCATCTGCAGCCCCAGCTCCGAAACCAGCCCAACCTCCAAACAAACGCAATTGAGCGATTGTATCCCTGCAAGGTGGGAATGTACAGTGAGCAGTCAGCCAGCAAGCGTTAACGCGCAAAATCCGAACAGACCTCAGTCCTGCCATCCAATCCGGATTTGGATTCTCCTCTGTCGCAGGCGGAAACAGTCCTGGTAAGGCTTCCTGTGCGGCACGAATGGTGGCAGCGACATTCTCATCCCCATCAGCGTCGATAAGTTCATTTGGCGGGTTTAACACAGCCTCAGCCATATTAGCCAAATTTCGAATGTCCTCTGGTTGCCCTTCGCCGCCGGCACCGTTCTGGTCCCTGTTCACGTTCATCCATGGTAACAAATTTCGCAGCAGACCAGTGAGAAATCCCATGTCCGAAAATGGGTTGTTCTCTGACCGTGAGCTGTTTTCGTAATCCGAATAAGGAGACGACGGAGCATTTTCTGGTGGAAGAGGGTCATAAGCTTGGACACCGGATGCAACAGCTTCCGGTGGCAATGCAGCGCTAATGGAAGGGAAATCTACGGAAGAGCATGTCAAAATAATGCAAAACCCTCATGGACGGCAGGCGAGTCTTACCGGAGATGAAAATATGTCTAGAAAGATTGCGAGGAACGCCATCATGGTATTGCTCTGCCCGAACACGTCGTCCCTCTTCAATCTCCTGATCGTTCCGGTTAAGCTTATCTATAGTTGCTGCGACATTCTGTCGCAGCCACGCCAGCACTTCCGGGACTTTCCATAAGGAATGATTTCTCTCTACGTAAAGGTCTATTAACAATTGCAGTGAATCAGGAGTATCGTTCGACAGGAAGTAAGCATCGCCAGACACTCTTGAGTCGCTTGTGGCCGTCTTTTCGTATAGACCAGCGACAACAGAGGGGAACCAAGCGATAGCTTTTTGCAGCATACATGAACTAGCACTATGGTCCTTTGGGTAGATTGTAAGCTGTCTTATCAATAGCTGTGTTCGAATAGGAAAGAGTAAAGTACCTTCCCTTCTTGGTTCTCCAATTCCCATGTCGCCAAG